ATTGTTTAGATAGGTTTTTCTTTACCTTATCTTTCCGCAAACAGTCTTGTAAAATCTGTATTGATCTTCTCTATCAATATATATTTTAAATTTGAAAACCTTGTGTTTGTATTCATCCCCCCCTCCTTCTACAAACTGTTTCTTATCTTGTAGACCCTTTCGGGACCAACAATACTGTTAAGTCATGAAATAACAGTTACAAAGTAAACCCTAGATATGGAAATAACTTACGATTTCATTAGAGATGTGTTGAAACCCATGAAAAACCGTTGTTTACGAAATTCGGTATACAGTAAAGTAAATATCAACTAAAATGATCCCAATTTAAATAAAAGCGACATAGGGTTTTCAGTTTACAAAGCTTAGATCCCAAAGGATGTTACTGATATAATTTTCACGGGTATAGTATATGCATAAATATAATGATATAGGTTTGTTAATTTGAACATCTGAAAATGCACATATCTTTATAAATTTACGTTAGTTACACAACATAACACATATTTTTATCGAGATAAATCATTGAGATTTCACTTGTAAATAATCATACTATGCTCATGTTCGTATAGAAAAAAATAAGGACTCCAAACAATATTTGAAAATATTTAGGGTAGCTTAGTTGGTTGGATCTTGGGCTCGTATTCACTGGTCACAAGTTCGAGTCCCGTCATGGTCACAAGATCTTTACATAGACGAAGGATCATGTTAGAATAGAAGTTAAGGTGAGACCCTTGATCACTTTTAATCTCACCCTCACTCCACAAATTGCGCTTCAATTAGGATTGATCTATGGGTGAAGATATTTTCTTACTCTTCTCATCATAACGTTCATTTTGATCGACACAACTCCATTTACATAACTACCCCTTAAAGTCAACTATTAGCCCCATACTTTACATGATTAAATTGTAGTGTGTATAAGTCTACACACCCAAATGCGTACATATGTACTTATACACACACCCAAATGCATACATATGTATATATACATGATATAAATGTTTCAATTTGGGTCATAGAAACAACATCACGGAAAGGAACACGACTGCAATACATGCAAAGATAACGAAAAAACTAAAATAAACTACAACACAAAAACAATCGAAAGTGACGATGATCGAGGCTTGTGCCAAGCACAACTTGCTTAAGCACAACTTCCTTTAAGCAGATTCACACCCTTGATACAATGGTCATAAGAGAACGAAACTTGTGATGGGCATTAGATTTTGGAATGAACTAGCGACTTCTACTGTTTCATTTAACTATATAATATTTATATAAAACAAATGTTACAAATAAACCCACACATTGTCATATCATATGTTTGTGTGTTCAAGAAGAATCGGGTCGGTATATTAAGTAGGTAATCATATTAAAGTATGATAATATAACTGATTGTTACTTGCATTAGTTAGTGGGGAAGCAAGGGCCAAGGGTCACGAACCCAATCTACATTTTTTAGCGGTCTGGGTGCGACATTTGTGTTCACAAGTCGTGTGTGCACACAAGTCCAATGGTTAACCATTATGTATCAATTAGGTCACAGGTTATCTCGGGTTTTTGTGAACCCTAATTATGCTTGAATGAAAGGCTATACAAAATGCCTTTTATTTCCACATCCTTCTTATGTGGGAAGGATACAACCTAATCTAAAACTTTAATTTCTCATTCACCTTTAATTTTCAGACAATAAATCTATAAGAAATTCTTAAAATATTCCAATTTAGACTATTCTTTATAGGCATATACATTGTATTTTCATCGTATTCACATTATATACTTTAGTAGCTCAAGCAAACTTTAGTATTTAGCCTCTTATTCCAATACTGTCAAAGTAACATAAAGACCAAAGAAACTTTAACCTGGTCCTAGTAAGCCCAGGCTCGAGCCACAGATCTGAGCCATGAATTAGACCAAGTATTTCTTTTAGGTTCGCTTAAAGCTCGACCCAAAAAATCTCGGTCTAAAAAAGCCATATCGGACCCACTTTCACACCCAAACCAAAGCCCAGCATGTGCCTTTGAAGGCCCAAACATTTTTGTTTACAAAAAAGGAGGTTTGGAAGGCTCAGACCTGAAAAAGTCACTAGACCTATTAATGATGGCACATATTAACATTACCAACGACTAGACTGAGTATGAATGCATACAAGTACAACGAAAATAACATGTATATGATCCTGACGTGGCTATTTTCAATTGATCCTACCTTTAATATCATGAGATCAAAGTATGATATTCATAGTGAAAAAACTAAAAACCTTCATAATCAAATAAAACTTAATGTAACGTCGATGAATCATTAATTACTGAGTACACGTAAATTACAAACTCTCATTAAATCAAGATATTGTCCATAACATGACACCCGTTCAAGCGTATACTCAATAAAGACCTTAGGTGTCAAACCCTTCGTCATTTTGAACAAATTTAGTTTAATTACCAATTATATGAATTTGAAGGTTCTAAGAACAAATTATTTGAGCCAAAGTAAAGATAAATTCCCCTTTTGGGATAGAGGGAATATTAATATGGATCATTGGCTTTGTTCTATAGCACTATCTATCATATATATACAAACTAAGCTTATTATATATACATCAGAGAGGAAGTCCTAGGGTCCAACCTAGAAACCACCATGTAACTCCTCCTTGATGATCGTGGGACTAGTTTGGTGGGGACGCTCTAGACGATGGCGTCTACCCCCTTTTACATTGCTAAGTCTTACTTTCAAATAATAAATGGTGGTACTTATAGATCGAAACTATGGCGGTTGAAATGGAAGATTGGAGCGTTGCTCTTCCTCCCAATGTTCTTAGACCTGCACTCTTTAGCAACGCTTCTCTCAAGACTAGTAGGACCACAAACAATCACCCCGATATCTACATTTCCCCAACGCTCGGCCATGGTTCCAAAAATTTCTGTATCAATCAAGAAAACAAACAAAATCACAAAAGTAGAAATAGATTACTTCTCAGTGTCAATAGAACCTAATTTTGGTATCGGAAATCAAAGAGCTTGCAAAAACATTTTCATATAAATCCAATGTGACATTTGGTTCACATAATGTTTCTTTGAAAGAATGGAATGTATCAAAGGAAATGAAATTGAATTAGGTTCGATCTTGCGTTTGGTTAGCAGGAATTGGTCTGAAGAATGTAGGCTCACAATTGGAAGGAAATAATGACAAATGACCAAATTACCCTTTTTATGATATTTTCCAAGTAATGAAATTCAACTCTTTAGGAAAAAGGCATGGATTGAACAGATCAACCAAGAAAGGAATTCAAGGGTTTTGAAGAATCCAAACTCCTTTCAAAAAGTGAACCTGACGAAAGAAGGGAACTTGGTCAACGGAATTGGTCATTCCATTCCATGAACCAAATCCAAATGCCCCTCAAGGCAAAGATGAAAAAGTCCTAATTATTTCAATTTGACAGGCACTTTGTGAAAAATATATGCCATCGACATACCTGTGAAGTCTGGTCTTTGACCATGCTTTATGGTTTTGGCAAAACTTCCTTCTGATAAATTCTTGTGTGTTGTAGACTCATTATGCAGCATGCCATCCGTTTTCTTTTCATCCCAAAAATTTTCTTTTGCCAAAGATATTCTATCCCAGAAACTCCATAGACCAATCACAAGGCCTCCAAATACAATAACACTTGCAACCATGCATATCAGTAATAGAAGCCCTTTGTACCATTGGTATGATATATCGTAAGGGTTGATGTAAAAGACATTGACCAAATTTAAAGAAACCACCAAACCGATTGTAGACACCATCACATAAGTTCCGGACCATATTGTGTTCCCTGTTCCAACCAATCTAGACATGCCACATTGGCTGGGAGAAGAAAACACGGTAGAGCTTGCATACTTCTGTACTTCCCCCTCTTCCTGCAGTCGAGAATTCATAACAAAGAAAGTTAGTTACTAACCAAACCAAATAAACCCTGTATATGCTGCTCGAAAGCAGGGTCTAGGCATGGGCTTAATCATGGGCAAGGTGGGTGCCCATGCCCCTTGTCTATCGTCCTGATGCAATGAAAAAAAAACTAGGGGTCTTACAAGTGTATCCTCCTTAATTTTATGTGCTCCTATAAGTTAACAAAAAATGGCTACAACCTGGTGGTAGTAAGTTGCAAGTTCAAATCTCTTTGGCTTTTTTTTTAAAAAAAAAATTGGTAACAAAACAGCTGAAAAGAACGGAAAATAGAACAAAAAAACCACTTGTATGTCATTTTTTATTTAATATAATTATTCTTTGTTTTATTTTATAGTGTGTCATTATTGTGTCTGGCTAGAAAATTTTCCCTATCCACCTCAGAATCTGGAAGAGGTAGGATGTATGCAAACATGATCTCTATTCCAAAGGGTAAAACGGTTGTTTATGTGAAGACTCCCGACTTTTGCAAAATTGTGAGCGAAAAGGAAAACAACGGTATCAAGAGTAGCAAATAGTAAGTAGCAGAAAAAGAAGATAAAGGAGAAAGGCACAAAGGAACATATAGACACAGAATCTCTCCATCTAACTAGGACGCTGTTACTCTATCTGAAATGGAAAATGCCATAGGAAATTAGGAACCGGGTACAACTATGCATACCAGTGGGGGTTCAGATTCCTGAGTGACGTAAGTTTGAATCTCTAGATTTAGTTTAGCGTTGAAGGTCGGACAGAGTGACTCCATGTCAAGTGAGTGGAGAAGTGGAAGCTCTTGTGATCTTTTGACAGCCCAGATTATCACTACATTTCTAGGCATACAAGGTTTACGGTCTCTGACACGGTGGAGAATGTCGCTCAAGATAGCCAGAAATGGCGAAATCCCAATGCCTCCAGCTACTAAAATAAGATTTTCATACCTAAAACCAAAGAACGTCAAACGAGCAATTAAGCAAATGTATTTGAAGGTGAAACAAGCAAATTCTATAGACATCCCTGTTTCACTGGTCAATTTTACAATCTACTACTGTACTACATAGAAGCAGCTATATAATCATATTTAGTGATACTACTCTAAAACACATGCATACCCATTTGTTTATCAAGTTGGGGGTTTCCACGGAAACAGCCTCTCTACCCCATGAGGTAGAGGAGAGATTTGCATACATCCTTACCCCTCCAAATCCTAGTTCTCTGTGGGATTTACTGGGTTTGTTTGGTTTGGTTTGGTTTAAACGAGTCAAAACTAAAGCCAATGAAGTGAGTAGAGTACATACAACAAGTGGTATGGTGATTCATGCCCGTAAGGCCCCTCCACAGATGCCTTAAGCTTCAAATTTGGTTGAACGAGTCCATCTTGGTCAGTGATACTCAAGATATGTCCTCTTAGTTTCTGTGTCCAATTTCCAAGGACCTTTATGAGAATAGCAAGATGATGCTTACCATCCAGAGGGCTGGATGAGACACTGAAAGGGTGCCATTGCAACCACGATAATTCTCGAACTTGGAGGAAAACCCAACTGAGTGCATTGTACTGTAAATCTACATTCAAAAGAGAAAGTATTACGTAGATATTAAGAGAAGACTCTGAGGAAAAACACCTTTTAAGCAAAAACTATTACCTCCTTACCGAAATAAGAATTATATTTCTATTTTAGTTTGTTCTAAAATACATGTCCACTTTAAAAGATAAATGTCTATTTTTTAATTTACCCTAACTATGAAATAGAGGGTAAAATTGTCATTAACTGATGAAAAAGTGTAATTAATTTATGAAAAAGTGTAATAAATACATATTTCTAAAACTGTGTCATTTTATGTTGGGACAGAAGAAGATTTAATACCTTGAGGTTTTGAAATAACAAGTTCCACGGTTCCAGATGGAAGGCATTTGGCTGAGAGTATTTCCAGAGTCTTTCGTGACTGAAAGAATCTAAGAAAGCGGTCGAGCATAAAGAGAAATAAGCCAGCAGCTATCACACTGAAAATGATATCGCCAACGTGCATAGCCATGAATACAATAAAGACGATATATAGGTGGTGCGTGTAGTAGAAGATTTCGAAGTTTAGCCTCCTCACTGGAGGAAGTGAAGTCACCCACATCAATAAACCTGCTGATAGGCTGATGACACCAGGAAGATTGGCAATACTGTTATTCTTCCAATTAATTAGCTGCATAGCCAAGTAGAAGAGGATTTTAGCATCTTCCATTGTTGAATATATAATTAGAAAGGAAATACTAATGCCATACGTATGTAGGCTGTAAGGCATGCCAAGAGAGAATTGAAACCTTATCACCAACATGAAAAACACACACACACACATATATACGCCCGGGGGGGGGGGGGGGGGGGGGGGGGGGTAATTATGTAGGGTTGAGTTCCGGTAAGAATTGAAGTTATGGTGAGAAGGGTAAGAAGAGGATCTTCACCATTGGATCAATCCTAATCGAAGATTAACACTAATGAGATGCATCAAGATGCACCAGATCAATTCTCGTGAGATGTGCAATTCATGGGGTGGGGTGAGATTAAAAGTGATAAGGGTCTAGACCCCTTCTTACGCTTCTCATCTTAACTCTTATTCTCACACGATCCTTCGTCTAATTCATGTAAGACCAACAAAATTGTGAGAACCCTGAGAATGAGTATATCATGTGCTATTTCATATGATTTTTTTTATCTAAGGCTAGAATTTAGGGTATTGATTAACATATATTTGTTTAAGAAAATGTTTGTATAACAATGTGAATTCTTTTACGTGTTTGAGAAACACAAATTACACATATAAAGAGGTTTCACATTGTACATTGAATACATATGAAACAAACACATTGTAAAACAAATATAATCAATACCTTAAATCCTAGCCTTATATGGAAAAAAAAATCATATGAAACTATACCTTAAGGCAAAAGTTCTCATGTTCCTCACAATATATAGGGCTTTCACTTGATTATGACCTTATGTATGTATGAATATAGGGTAACCGTAGATGTCAAGGCCAGCTTGCGTGCACCACAATTAATCCCATGCCCCGAAGATAACAACGAGGAAAATCCCTGTGACCCTAAAGAGATTCGAACTGGAGACCTATATACTCTCAACAAGTTTACAAATTGGACCATTTCACTAACGCGATAGGTAGATATCTAATATAGAGATGTTTGGCATTGTTCATCATAGGTAATAAACATATATTATGGTCCCTTAGCATATAATCACTTCATATATCAATCTAAAGCTGCTATATTGGATATAAGAATTTGGAGCTGATTAAATATGTTAAAGTCATACCAACATATTCAATTATTCATAAAATCAATAATCACACAATTCTCCATGTTTATGTGTTCCTGTGACCAGTGTGTGGGTGTGGCTCATTTTAGTATAAATGAAAGATCTGGATTGGAACTCACTTGGTGTACGACACGATCCTCCAAAATCCATGAGTAGAAATAACACGAACCATGGAGAGTGAAGAGTGTCATTGTAAGATGTCCCAACCATACATGATATCGAGTCGCATGCTCAAAAGGTATATTTGTAAGCCGTAGAAGAATTGATCCCCTTGCAACCGGCAGAAACAAAAATACTATGCAAATCAATCCAATAGACCCGAACCGGAGTCCTGTATGCTTCAGCATTGCATTCCTACAGGATTAAATGTCAAACTACATCAAATAGTGATCAAGTACACATCAGTAGAATTAAGAGTCTAATAACCGAAAACAATCCAAAATACGATACAAAATTGCAGTATGTGCCTTTTGAAGAATAAAATTGTAACAAACATGTTATGATGCTTCACAAGGTGTCTGGTCACTCAATTCCTAATATAGAATACGATATAGAATTATATATATAATATTACAATATCTATACATAAAATATACATACCCCTCTAGGTTTTATCTTCGCAATAGTCAGAGGAAAGAGAGAGATACAGAGATAAGAAGCTAGAATGGGTCCATTAGACCATACGACAAATTATTTAGATTATCAAGAACCATATTATTCAATTTAATTTCTGCCGCTTCACAGATGGTGCATAACGTAACAAAAGCTTGACGTCCCACGTGTGATGTGACAGTAGATTGGAACAGGATAAGGACCGATTGGAACAAAAAATGCAATTTTCTTATCCTACCAAAATAGTTGGAACAAAAATAGGAAGATGAGACAAAATGAGTAAATTACTAAGATACATATCAAAATTAAAACACTACAAGCTCGACAATTATTTCACCCTCCTACCTCACTGTCGCTCATCCAGTATTGTCTGCATACCAAACGCACCCTTAAAACCCAACTATAAAGTATAAACTATTAACAATACATAAATAATATTAATTTAGTTCCATGTATATATATTTCAAAATTCAAATATTGCGTATTTTAGGTAGTCAAGTTATTGTTGCAACTGTAG